GACAGGTTCTGGTATCATGGCTACCTGACAACGGAGCTCAAAAGTGTGGGATCATTCATAGAGAATGAAAGAGAAACCTGTGTAATATCTGCAGAGCAGAACTTGTCTTCCACAGCAATTATTTTTAGTTAGCATATAGCTAAAATCTAACGATGGTTATACAATAGCAGCTGCATTCTGACGTGATAAGCTCTATGTTTTATATTTAATTAACGTATGATCCGATTAGTCGACTAATCGAATAAATAATCGGTGATTAATCGATTATTAAAATAATCGTTTGTGGCAGCCCTAATCTGCAACTGTATTTGGTAATGTTTTGAACTTTTTAAATACTGCATGATGGAACCAGAAGCTGCACTTCATATTAGTGACAAACTTTGGCCATTTTTGATGAGTTACTTTCATTTTTGCTTCTACTTTTCATTTAAAATTGGTTTCAATTTTCGGCTGGGATCTAAGTTTCTTCTTCTACATATTAGAAATGTTGTTAAACAACTGAGTGGTGCACTACTGCTACTAGTGGTGAGAAAGTTTATTGCATCTTATTCAAAATCAATGCAGTCCCACGGCCCTCTGCGGCCCAAAGTTAAAAACTGTTGTTCTTTTGAGGCCCTGAAGGTGGCGCTCACGGCCCACAATTGGGCCGTGACCCATAGGTTAAGAATCTCTGGGCTAGACGTGGCTTTTCAAAGTCATAGCGAGCAGCCATCTTGTGCAGGGCGAGGACTAAGCTTCATGCAGGAAAAGTCTTGTTTCTGAGTCTGAATGTGTGGAAGGAGAAACGGATCATCTGCTGAAATGAACTAACAGTGGGCTCGTCTCCTTCTCAGGGGTCTGTCCTTCATGTCAACAACAATTACAGCTCAACAGACACAACTGTTAGCTGCTAAAGCTGAATGAGCCAACAATAAATTTAGGTCAGCACATCAATGAAACCCACTTTAATATTGACAACCATTTTTTTATTTGATATTATTGTCTGTCGGTAAATATTATCATATCAGGTAAAAACATGTTGCTAATTTACACACGTCTGAATTTAATGATGTTTCAAAATGATCTTTAGTAGTCACTAACAATACATCGTAATTTATTTAGGTCAAAATTGCAATTGCAAATATAATGAGTGTTAATTTAACCCACAAAAATCTGCAATATAGTCAATGAATTTCATTTATTACAGTTATGTTAAATGTTTAAATTGTAAGTCAACATCTTTGATTTATTCTCTGCAACATGCAATCCCACTGACATACCTCAGTACACAAGTACTAGCATATTAAGTACTAACTGCACCATTACAGAAAATTGTATATATTAATTTTAGCATTCATAGATTCATTTTTATATGAAAAACTTATTATATATTTTAGTTTTGCTTGTAAAAATACACACCGATGGCATGAGGTTTTTTGCACTGTAGAATGATTTATGACAGTATTTAATGAGTTGGTATGATTTGTAAACCTGATATGGAAACATTCAGGTATAATAAAACTTGAACATCACAGCTGTCACTTTTTATTTGATTTAAAATTTTTAGAGATAGAGATTTATTCAATTCTTTTTATTTCAAGAAAACAGTTTTCTTTAGTAAGGCAGAAAAATTTGAGAAACTTAAGTTATTTGACAGTATAACAATCTATGCATAATCTTTTAGCAGCAGCTTGATCTAGAGGCAGAGCTAGAGGGGTGAACAACGTGGTAAGTGCCACCCCCAAATAATCGACATTAGGGCTGCCATGATTGATCAATTAATCGACGACTAATCGATTATTAAAATAATCGACGACTAATTTAATAATCGATTAATAGTTTTGGTTTTTTTGTTCTTTACTTTGTTTTTCTCTCCAAACTGCTTTGACACCTTCCACTGCCACATCTGCCTTTCTGCCCTTGACACACATGCACAGTAGTGGTAACTGGGGTAGGCCGTGGACGTCACAAGACATTTTACAGACAGGCTCTGGTATCATGGCTACCTGACAACAGAGCTCAAA